CAGAGTCACACGACACAAGCGGTGACGCTCAGAGCCAGCGCTCCCCTTTCACATGGGGACCAAGGGGTGTTTGCTCTCTTTGAACCTCTGTGCTGCTGATCTTGGAGATGTGTACAGAACAGAGCCAGGCAGGCTCAGGGTGAGAAACTCGGACCAAACCACCCCTGCATGCAGCCCGTGCACACCCCCTGTGCTTGCTCTCCGACGGGGTGTTTGCTCAGGTGGCCAGCGCCCGCCTTCCCGCTGGAGGTGCCTTCCCAGCATCATTGCTTCTCTAGGGCCCGGAGATCACATGTTTCTCTCATCACAAAGAACTTCTGCTGTGGGATCTGTAATAACTCTGCTTGGAGTTGAGCTGAAATAAAACATGCCTCAAGTGAACAATAGCCAAATAACGAGAGTGATGTTTTTTCTTCTTGTAAAGAGCGTGTGCTGCACACAGGGCTAATCTGCATGGCTTCAGTACATTCAGCACCTGTGTTTTTGTTTTCTTTCCAGTGGGAACAGTGGCTTGGCCTGCACTGCTTGTTCCTGCCTGCCTTGCAGAGAATTGCCCAAAGGTTTTACTCATTTTTAATCTGATTTCTTTTCTGTATGTGAGGAGTTGGGAGTTAATGGCAGATTTTCCCCTACAACCTCTTTTGCTGATGGCCAAACGGAGAACACTTAATGACCAAGCTGGATGCTGCTTGGAGAGCTTGCTCTTCACATGAGCTTGGGGTCAGCTATTAAGGCAGCTCTGCCATCTTCCCCTATCTCCTTTCAACTTTGAAGAGGCAGCCAGGCTGGCAAGGCTGCTGCAGGAATCACAGCCCTCGAGTTCATGAAGAGCTGCTGTGTTTTCTAAGCCTGTGCCCTACTGTACAGCTAGCAGATCCTGAAGTGGGGCTTCATTACTGCCATTGCTGGGGTTCCTCAGACAGCTGCCCTTCCACAAAACTGCCTTTGGTCAGAAAATGCAAAGCTGCTGATCCCTCTACATAAAATCACCCTCAACTCACCAGAATTTCATTTCACGTCATACAAAAAGTTTCTAACTACATCAAAGCATCCTGTCGTGACAGCTAAAAGAACAAGTAACTCCACCTTTTGGTGTAAAACGACTTTTCTTTTCAAAGCATTGTATTTTGTATTAAACAATGAACTCTTCCTGTGATTCTGCTTGTGGCTCAGGATGGAGCTGTTCACCACCAATCCCGTGATACTTTTCAGCTTCACTCTGTTATGCAAAATAACAACAGCAACAACAGTTCCGAACATTGTTGTAAGACCAAAGATCCAGACTCCACATAAAAAGAACAAAACCATGATTTTGGCAGGCAAGGTAAAGAAATCTAAAAGAATCCAAAACATACACAGTCTAATAAAATCTGTAGACCATAACTCCTGTACGCAGTTTAGACATGCTTAGGAAAAAAACCACACAACCCTCCCCCCACCCAGTATAAAATCTAGAGTTCTAGGGATTCTTTGCAAGGATGCACTTTCCTACCAATGCCTAACATCAGTTATCTTACAGCAAACTCTTTACCTGCAGTAGATGTCTAGATCAGTGATGAAACCAGTTTCCTTTCAGAACAGAATGGAGACATTTCCATTCACCTCATGTTCACTGCAGGCAATAGTTTCAGGCTGGACAGTTTGTGTGTGTTTCTGTTAAAAAGTCACAGAGCTGAAGAACATATACAGGAAGCTTTCATATGGTTATCAGTCCTTGGAAAGCTTCTCTCCTGATTACCATATGTTTTGTATGTCCACTTCCCAGTGTGTCTACCCAGGGCAGAAGAGTGACAGGACGTTGGGAAAAACCACCACCGACGTTTTAAGGATATGGAGTCTAACAGCACTTGAGTTGCTTTTAGGCATTATCCTGTTTGTCTAAGAAAATGAACCTTTTCTTTCAACTACAAGCCAGATTACAGAAGTGTTTGGGGACAGATTTTCACTTAGAGCAGACACTATAGTTTCTTCCAGTTACAACTGGCAAAGGACTACAACGTGTAACTGGTGAACTTTCATTTCTGGTAACGCTCTGGGGTCCCAGGTTGTGAATGTCAGAGGAGGCAGAACACAAGATTAGCTCATAGGCAAGGACAGGTGGGAAGGAATCAAATGAGTTTACTGAGCAGCCAGTAATTCTGTGAATTACTCAGTGAATACCATTCTCTCACTGCAGATATTACAGTTCCCCTTTTGTCGCAAATGCGTTTATCACCTCAGTCAGAAATTGTATGAAATTACAGTTCCACAGGTCAGCACCTTCCTACACCTTCAGAGCCTTTCAGTTACTGACCTTTGGAGAAACACAGTGTGCTCACTGACCTGAAAACAAGTAAAGCCCACTTGGATCCAAATTTCCTTCCATTTTCCTGCAGATGTAGACAGGATTCTCCTAGACCTCCTGTTTTTTTGAATCAAGACTGTTGATTAGTAAGACAAAGGAAGCTGAATGTGGGGAAATAACTTCTAAAGTTGAAAACTGTCTTGTATTAATCTTACTTCATGTTATTAATTAATTACTGACAATTACTCTGAGATAATGTTCTCTAAACTCCAGGGATCACTTTCCAACTTAAGTTTTTGTAGAATTACTGCAAAATCTGATTAGACTGAGAAAGAGAAATGACAGTCCATTTGTTGAGAGGACTGAAAATGGAGTTCATACCCTTTCCACCAAGTGTCCCTTCTACCAGCCTTCATAACGAGGCTTTCTCCCTCTCCAGTGCTCAAGAAGAAAAAAACTGATGTTCCAAAAATGGCTCAGGAGTTCTTACTTTAGAAATGGAAAAAAAACCTCTCTGTATTAGATAATATAAATCCTATATATACACAACTATATTTACCTTATTTAAATGCTAAGCTGCACTATAAAGGTAATTTCACTTCAATGCTACAAGCGCATCTGAAAGTGTTTCCACAAGCTGCCTCAACACAAGGGCCACAAAGCAAAGCTGAGCCCATGACAACAGTTGGGTTTTCAAGTGACAGACTTGAAAACATAAAGGAACTCTTTGTGTCTGGTACTGCTAAACGAGGGACACACCTAGAAGGACCAAGGTCAGGAGCTGCCTGCCCTGGGAGAGCAAGGTCTTCCCTCTGGAAACACACCTTTCCAATGCAGGGCCCTCTGCAAAACCAAACAGCTATTGCCTTCTTGGGCTTTTCACAGAATCAAAGGATGTCAGGGGTTGGAAGGGACCTCTGAAGATCATCAAGTCCAACCCCCCTACCAGAGCAGGACCAAAAAAAAACGAGGGCAGATCACTCAGAAAGGCATCCAGACAAGTCTGGAAAGTCTCCAGAGGAGACTCTGGGCAGCCTGTGCTCTGTCATCCTCACAGTAAAGAAGTTCTTCCTCATGTTGAGGTGGTACTTCCTGAGCTCAAATTTTACTCCATTGCCCCTCGTTCTATCACAGGGTGCAAGTGACAAGAGCTTGCCCCTGCCTTCTTGATGCCCAGCCCTCATCTATTTATAGACATTAATTAGATCTCCCCTCAGTCTTCTCTTCTCTAGACTGAAAAGCCCCAGGTCTCATAGTCTTTCTTCATAAGGCAAGTGTTCCAGTCCCTTCATCATCCTCACAGCCCTTCACTGGACTCTCTCAAGTAAATCCCTGTCCCCCCTTGCTTCCTCCTAGTGCCTCCTCCCCAGCCTGGCTGCACCTCAGGGCCGAGCACACCAACCTCCATCCCACCGGGATGAAGCTCCTCCCGTCACCAAAGCAAGATGTTAAAAAGAGGAAAAAGATTTTACTCATCTGTTGGAAATGGCAGGACTTGGTCGATATTGGAAGTTTTACGGGAAAGGAAGCAAGGCTTCTAAAGTCTCTCCCAGATGGTTTCAGCTTTGAAGGAACAGCTTTGGGATTGTTGGAATGCTCCCCTCTCTTCGCAGCACGGGATCTTCCCTGTGCCAGCTGCCAAGGCCGAGGCCCTCAGCCTTTCCAAAGGGCTTCTGATCAGGCTGGCAGATAAACCCCACCCCATGGAAAGCCCAGCAGCTCTGCTACCATCCTTTTTTCTTGCCTGAGTTGCCTCACTTATCCTTTTCACAAACCCGCAGTACCAGAAAAGATCATTAAAATCACCCACCTAGTCCCTTCAACAATTTAAGGTCCAGGGAATTTTCACTCAGTCCCTTTTCTGCCTTCGTTTCCTCTGCCTTCACCTCCACTTCCTTTTTCTCATTCCTGTCATGATTGCTTTTGTTTCTTTCTGCCCCTCAGCTCTGTGCTGCCTTCCAGCTCCCCAGCAAAGCAGGCAGCTACGTTGGTGGTTCTGCCAGCTGGGTCATGTAAGTGCGGGCAACTTCCCCAAGTGCCCTGGGAATGGAAGAGAGTCCCTTGGGCCATTGTGCTGTTGCCTCAACTTCTGGCAAGTCAGTACTAGAACAGCAGCAAAAGCAGGAA